TTTACCTCATCTATGTACTTACCCTCCTACTCACTCTGTATCTCATGGCATCTGCTCCAACTCTGCCCTTCTCCCCAGCATTCTCTCTGCCCTGAAAATCCTGCCTAGCCACTGGCCAATATTTTGATCTCATTTTATTAACAACGAGAGCAACAAATCTTCACAGTGCACAGAAGGGTTATTCCAGAGCAGAAGGCAGGTGCAGTGAGATGATGTCAAGCAAGGAGCTCACACAGGCAAGCTCTTGACACTGGTAAGAACTGAGATCTACAGACATCCCTAACTTAATGATGCTCATATGCTCTGAAAAGCACATTAGGCAATTTCACCACTGTGCAAACATAATAGAGTATACTTACATAAGCCTAGGTGATACAGCTTCTACTTGCTTAGGTTGTGTGTACAGATTGCAAATCTATGCAACATATCACTGTCCTGAATATTGCAGGCAGTTGTGACACAGTGCTATTTGTGTATCTGAACATTTCTCAACTGCAATAGTGACAATATAGCATGGCAGAAATTTTTCAGTTTCATTATAATCTTAGGCCTGCTGTGTACATGGATATTTGATATAGTTCATCATATATGACACCCATTGTGTACACTGGTATTCCTTTGTTGACTGGGATGTCATTTAGTGGTTTATGCCTCTACTTAATAGCCATCATTGAATTTTATTTTCAAATATGAAAATGGAGAAATGGAAACTAAATGGAGAAGCACCATTTCCTTTATTTGTATTGAAAACTGAATCTATAAATGGAATTGCTAGTTGCCTCTTTCCCTTTCCTGTGTTGCTACATGCTGAGTCTAGGTGGAAAGCCTCCTCTTGGGATGAGACCCTCATCAGACCTGAAGGAATCCTTGGTAATCTGACACCATAATTCACTTCCCAGTCAAAATGCTTGGCCCATGTTTTGACAAAAAGTTTGCTGTGAACTGTGGGTTCCTTCTCTTCTCCATTCTCAGGAGAAGCTCCAGCAGACTCATTCTGGAGGGACACATTTAGCCTGGCAACATAGGCCTAAACCCATGTTTTGGAAGGTGGCTAAGTGGGAGAAAAAATCTAAGCCTTCTATTTCTCAACTAAAAACCACCCAGGAAAAACCACTAGTAGTTTTCATGCCCAGGATCGTGCCTCTGGGTGTTATTTTACTTTTCATGAATGAATGAATGAATGAATGAATGAATGAATGAATGAATGAATGAATGAATGCTGGAAGCCCACATATGGAGTTTCTGTTTGTCACAGATAAATGGATCAGCTCAGATCCTTGGCTTGAGCTGCAGTCCCTGCAGCCCTCACCCCAGCTGCCACTTAAGAAAGCAGGATGTCATCACCTACCCTCACTCCCTCTTGCCTGCTGCCCCCTGCTGCTGGAGCCAGCTCAGCTCTAGGACGGTTCTGTGGGTGGAAAGGGCAAGCCTGTCCTGTTGTAATCTCAGTTTTGTAGGAAAGGAGGCCCTTTGTTTAGGAAAGTAGCAAACTGTCATGTGAAGAGCACGTACCAGCACTGAACTAGATTCAGACCCTAGCAGACACTCACTGGGCAAACTTGCCCAGCTGGGCAAACTTGAACAACTGCTTAATCTTTATGATTCTGAGTTTTTCTTCTGGAGAAAGATGGCACCAAGTGGGTCGTTTGGCAGCTTCAGTGAGAGTGAGAGCGTGCCACCAAATGGTTTCTATGTCTTCTTGGTTTTGCCCTTCAGTAGTCAGTGTCATCCAGTCTCTTCTTCTTCTTCTTTCCCTCCAACCTATCTTATTTTGTCGTGTGTGTGTGTGTGTGTGTGTGTGTGTGTGTGTGTGTGTGCGCGTGCGTGCATGTGCGCACACATGTTTACATGAACATCTGCCATTTGAAACCAAATCTTTAAAGAGTATTTTAAAATAATGATGTTGTTATGTACTTTCCCCATTTAATCTTAAAACTAGCCTAAATACTTTTTTTAATGGAAGAACTCAGCGGCTTTTGAAACATTTGTGACTGGCCTTGGCCATGTGTGAGAGAATGACCCCTGCTACTGGGAGCTTCCTTATCTTCCTGCAGAATTTCATGGTGTCTCAGAGTCAGTTTTCCGGCACAAAGGTCACAGTTACAGCATGCTTGAAGCAGTTACATAATCTCCGTGTTCACATTGACTTCTTCATCCATAAAACATGGGACTGCTAATGTTTGTTAGCGATGAACTGACACAGGACTGTAGACTCGATCCTGGTGGGTAGAAGAGGATATCATAATATCAAGGAGCGGCAACCCAGAATTTTGTGGGAACCCAGATCTGATGTAGCCTAGAACTTTAGACCAAGCTTTGATAGTAAACTCTATGGAGAGGGGTCTACAACCTGCTCAGTTTTTATTCAGTTCTTTGGATGGAGATAGAAGAACCTAGTTAATATGAGAGCTGAAAAGCAGGAAAACACTAAAACTGACTCTACCTGTGCATGGGGAGCTTTCCAAGAAGGATCTGAGCATATCCCAGCAGGATCTGAGCAGGCTGTATCTGCAAGATGGTGGCTTGGCTGGGTTTACATAGTGTGCGACTGGACTTACCATTTGTCCATATTAGGCCAGTATCACATGGTCCTTTTGGTTTATGAGCCAAATCTTCTCTGACAGTAGAGACTATCAGTGGAGTCCAAGTGAATCAAATTCAGGTCTTGTTAACTATGTGTGCTTGCGGACTTTACATAGTCAGTCTATTTCCCAAGTTTCTCACCTGTATACTGAAGACAACAGTACTTATTTCAGAGTGATCTGAAGATTAGAGATGATGATTTCAATAGAGTACCTAGCCTTAGTGACTACTTTAATATTTGTCCATATCAACTCAAATTAGTACTCAGAAGAGGGCATGGAATATCAGAGTATGGCTCTTCTGAGGGTCTACCTTTGCTTATCTATATGGTTGGAATCCTTTGACACACATGGGACACAGAACTGGGAACAGAGAATTGGTATATCCTATTTTCCTATATGTTGTATTTGAAAATTTTAGAGATATGCTATTCAGAAAAATACCGCTGAATATACTAACATAGACACACTTTGAGGATGCTAACTGAAATATGCCAGCCACAAAAGAACAAAGGCTGTATAACTTCATGTAGAGTAGGTGTTAAGGAATAGTCAGATTGACAAAGCAGAAAGGAAGGGTGTTTACCAAGGCTGGGGGTGGGGTTCAGTTTTGTAAGATTAAAAGCGTTCTGACAGCACTGAATTATTTAACATGACTGGACTGAACTTTACAGTTAAAGATAATTTAGATAGGACCTGGAGAGATTATTCAGTCAATACAATACTTGCTGTATGTAACGTGTACTGTTTTTTTGCCTGCCGCCGACCGGTCTTGTCCCGCCGCCACGCCAGCTCCAAATAACACACAGAGACTCTGTATTTGATACTATGCTGTTGGCCCGGTTACTTGTTTCTTATCGGCTAGCTCTGCCTTAATTATTAACCCATTTCTGTTGATCTATGTATTTTCACATGGCCTTCTCTTACCGGGGAGGCGGCTGGCATCCAGCTCTCTCCAGACTCTCCATCTTGACTCCTCCTTACTACTTCCTATTTCCTCCTTGTCTCCTAGTCCTCCCTATCTTCCTTTCCTATTGGCCAACAGTTCTTTATTATTAACCAGTATGAGAAACATATATACATAATGGCATCTCCCAAATCCAAATTCACATTTCTAGCACCCATGTAAAAAGTCAAACATGGTAGCACATGGCTAAGATCCCAGGGCTGGGAAGGTGGAGGCAGATGGATCTCTGGAACTCAGAGAAATGTTAAGGTATACCAGAAAGCCCATATAAGCTTAAAAGTCATTAAATTTAATCAAGTTGGTAACTACCATGAATCCTAGCCTCCTACTCTGGAAAACACATCTCTATAAGTAAAATGTAAAGAAAAAAAATGTATAACATGGTATTTATGTGACTAAGAGTCAATAAAGTACCGGGGGTGATAGAAGTTCATGACAATTGTACAACGTAGGTGTTCTGTTGAGACACTGGAAAGTGAGTGACTATAGACAGTCACAATTAATCATTTCATGAAAAGTAATCTTTGGCTTTTGTTATAGCAAAATTTTTATATTTTAGTTGATATTTTGCACATAATATTTTCTTTTGACAGAAATACTGCTAGATAACTATTCTTGTTCTGTAACATTATAAAATGTAATTTGCCCTTTGTAAATTTATTTAAAGTGTGAATAATTTCAATTTGGAGATAGTTTCTCCTTCATTTCAACTGGAAACCCTATTAACTAAACTGCTAATTAAAAATTTCAAACAACACATAGATTTGGAAATGAACCATGACTATCTTATGTCATTGATTCCATTTATCATAGACAATATTAGAATATAGTTGAGTTTCATTGAATAAATATTTGTACTACCTTTTTAGCAGAATCTCAACCTGAGAGAAATGTGGAACCTTGGTATTCTGTTTTCTATATGTCATGTCTGGGTTTTTCTGTACATTAAAGATACATGGGATATAGTTCAATGATTAGTGCTTCTTGGTGCCCCAGCCAGTATGAAGAGTTGAGGAGACCCCCCTAAATACAGATTGGAACATGAACAACAGCAGTCATATAGACACTTGGCATCACTGAGCATGATGCTTCATGTACCAGGGCCAAGGACATGTTGACAAGTTAGCCACCCTTCTCTGCTCCAGATGTTTCTGCTGCTCAGATCCTTCATGCGCGCTGAAGTGGCTCCATCACTGCCAACATCATTATGAGCATCAAAGCCATCATGTTTAGGATGGTTAGACACAAGGTTCTTGTTTCAAAGACTTGAGGAAAGGAAGGTGGGAATGCATGCATGTCCTGAGGCTCAGGATGCACTGCCTTATAAGCTTCTGGTAGACTCCTTAGAAGTCCATCCCACCACCCTGCTACCTGTGGTGTGGACTGGTGCTACCAGGGTTGCAGATTGGGAGTCTGTCTGCTAACTGTTCTTCACTCTGTTTTCCCCTTAGGAACTGGTGAGAGTGGGAAAAGCACCTTCATCAAGCAAATGAGGATAATCCATGGGTCTGGCTATAGTGATGAAGATAGAAAGGGCTTCACGAAGCTGGTTTACCAAAACATATTCACTGCCATGCAAGCCATGATCAGAGCAATGGACACCCTGAGAATACAATACGTGTGTGAGCAGAATAAGGTACAATGATTCAGAGGGCTGGCCCTGTGTTAACGCATGTCCTCCTATCGGATGCTTGGGAGGGCTGACTCTATGTGTGAATGCACGCCCTCCTATTGAGGTCACTGAAAGCCTTTGAACAAAAAGGTTTGCTAAGTGCTTTGGTTGGATGGCAGAGTACTTGAGCTATCCATAATGGAAGAGCTACTTGGGGCATGAGATGGATTTAGTCAGTCCTATTAATCTTATGTTCGCCAGGAATGTTCTGCATGAAATAAAGTTGCATGTTATGTGGCATACAGGGAATCTGACTCAACATGTGGTTGCTGGGAATTGAACTCAGGACCTCTGAAAGAGCAGTCAGTGCCCTTAACCGCTGAGCCATCTCTCCAGCCCCATACAGGGAATCTGAAAGTTGGGCATTTGTTGAGGTTGCTCATTTCAGGAACTAAAAGAAGGAGCCATTTTCCATTTGAGCTGAGAGACCCATTGTTTGCCTCAGTGGGGGAAATGATGATGCCGGTTTTACTGTGTCTAGCTTTTCAAGAATTCTCAGTCTCAGGAAATATTTTCACTAATGCACTGTAGACTGCTGAGAGGAATTGGTTGTAATTGTTTGTGTTGGGAGGTGGCCCTTCCTGGGAACTAAGTGACATTTTATGAAAGCAGTTCTCGTGTCCCAGCTAACAAAGTGCTCTCATGATGTGAGCATTCCAAGCTGATACTTGCTTTCTGTCACTGGCTATTAGTGGTGCAAATCTCCTAACAATGAAGGGTGGAGGTGGCAAACAGAATTGCCTATGCTACAATGAAACGGATTGGAGTTTATTCTGAATCCAGATTGGACATGAGTTTAGCCAGGGGCCTATAATTCTAGCAGCTGGGAGATGAAGACAGTGGGACCCTGAGGTTAAGGCCAGCCTGGGCTACATAGTAACACCCTGACTTTTAAAAATGAAAAAATATTCTTTATTTCAAATAATCAATACTGTATGATGAATGGTATGGTGACAAAATAATTCTGTGTCAAATGAACCTCTCATGAATTTATTTAAAAATGATGTCGATGCTAACAGTGCAGAACTGTATGAGCTTCAGGATGGATAATTTTATTAACACTGTGGCATCTGCACTCATGGATATCTTCTAATTAAGATGGGGAAAATTTAAAGCAACTAAAGAATTTAAAACTCTATTTCTTGGCAATTCTTTATTTAGTACACAATATGCACCAGATTGTTGATACTGTCACATTGGTACAACTCATTTATTCACCATCATTTCCTTGTAGTCTCAAAGATCACATGAAGGACTATGTCCTGACAATAGTTCAACTTCTAACAGTCATACTGGAAGCATGTGGAGTGAACTAATATGCAAGGCACATGCTGAGCCACTTGGGATGTTGTAGACATATGTGATTGTGAAGATCCCACACATCTATTGCTTTTCAGTACATGTGTTATGTTTTGAAAGTGCACAGTCCATTGACACCCTATGTAGCATCCCCAAATCAGGCTTTCTGTGATTTCTGACTCTTTCAGAGAGGAAGCAAGGCCTCCTGGTGACTTCTTTCTATTGTTTTCCCTGGTTGTAGGCTGAGTTTCTTTATTGGCCATAGTAGGGTAGCTAGTGAAGCTTGGCATTCAGGAGTGGATTTATAAACAGAACAACTGATGAGAAGGCTCAAATGTAAACCACTTTTGCTTCCCTTGCTAACATGTGCTTGTGAAACCTAATCAAGTTTGGTAGTCAAGACCTCTAGGTTTCAGTTTTTGTTCAATTTTCTTTCATGATCTCTTAAAAGTGCTCTGAGTTCGTATTTTAAAAATAGAGATTGCATGGGATTTGACATCCCATCACTTTCTCCTGCTTGCTTGATCTCCACTCTTCCATAAGACATGGGTTGTCTGTATTCATTTCCTCAGGCTGCATTGACTACATACCTCAATCCGGGTGCCTACAAACAAGCTTATTCTCTTACAGCTCTGAATGCTAAAAGTAAGGCTCATTGGTACCAACTGGAGGCACAGAAAGTCATTTCTTGCCCCCCCCCCACCGGTCTGGTTACTATAAGTCCAAGGCCTGTGTTGGCTTGTCCACGTGTTACTCCGTTTCTGCATCTATCAGCTTACGTAGTGGTGTCCTCTCTGTCTGTGTTCAAATCTGCCTCTTATAAGGCCACCTCTAATCAAGGATGACCTTAATTACCTCCTAGTGACACCATTTCCAAATAAGATTCTACTTTGAAGGGCTGGAGAGATGGCTCAGCAATTAAGAGCACTACCTGCTCTTTCAGAGGACCTGGATTCAATTCCCAGCACCCACGTGGGAGCTCACAACTGTCTGTAACTCTAGTTCTACAGAATCCAACACCCTCACACAGACATGCAAACAGGAGAAATCCCAATGTATGTAAAAATAGATAAATATAAGAAATTATCTTTTTTTTTTTTTTTTTAAAAAAAAGATTGCACTTTGAAGTTCTAGGTCGACATGGTATTTAGTGGCAATACTATTCAACAATGCAGTCTTCCCTGTGTGCAGGGTACATGAGCAAAATACAGGCTCTCCAGGTTAAACTGTACCTAAGTGATATAACCTGATTAGTGGGCAAGTGTGAAACCAAAAATGGACTTCTTATTTATTCTATTATTTGTTGAGGTCATTTTTTTCCATCCTTCCCTTCTTGTTTTTCTCTAGCCTGTTATAAGCTACTCTTGAATCCAAATATGAAACTGTAAAACAGTACCCATGTAAGACATAAAATGAAAAACTGATTGGGCTGGCTGTAGTGGTTCAAGCCTGTAACCCCAGCACTTGGGGGAGAGGAAGGAGGAATATTATGAGTTTGAGGCCATCCTGGGCTGCATAGCAAGTTCCAGGCAGCTTCAGCTGCATAATTCACTATCTCAAGAAAAAATAATAATAATAATAGGTGTTGCTATGTGCTATCTTCTTTACAAAATACTGGGTAAGTTGAAACAATTGCTCAGTTAAACCAAGGGCAAAGAAAACCTTGGCTTTCATTTCACAGTATGAAACATTTCCTTCATTTCTTATTGATGAATATTCCATGAATATTTTCTATTTCTTATTGCCTGTGGGGTGTGTATGTGTACATGTGATTGTGTGTGTGTGTGTGTGTATGTGTGTGTGCTGTGGGTGTGAACGAAAGGCTGTTGCAGAGGGTTTTGAGTGCTAGTGAGATCATTGTACCTCAAGTTCATTGAAATCTTTGCTTAGTGCTTGAAAGACTCCAACTAACACTCTGAGCAATAGTGGAGAGGCTACCTTAAATGCCCTTCCCTGATAATGAGATTGATGACTACCTTATATGACATCCTAGAGCCTTCATCCAGTAGCTAATGGAAGCAGAAGCAGACACACACCCACAGCTAAACACTAAGCCAAACTCCTGGAATCCAGTTGTAGAAAGGGAGGAGTGATGAGCAAAGGGGTCAAGACCAGGCTGGAGAAACCCACAGAAACAGCTGACCTGAACGAGGGGAAGCTCATGGATCCTAGACTGATACCTGGGAAACCAGCATAGGACTGACCCAGACCCCCTGAATGTGGGTCTCAGTTAGGAGGCCTGGGTAATCTATGGGGCCTCTGGTAGTGGATCAGTATTTATCCTCAGTGTAGGAATGGACTTTGGGAGCCCATTCTACATAGAGGGATACCCTCTCAGCCTAGAAATGGGGGGAGAGCCTAGGCCCTGTTCCAAATGATATGACAGACTTTGATGATTCCCCATGGAAGGCCTCACCATCCCTGGGGAGCAGAAAGGGGATGGGATAGGGGGCTGGGAAGGGGCAGGGGAAGAGAGGAGAGAGAGTGACCTGGAATTGATATGTTTAAAAAAAAAAAAACTTGTTTCTAATTTAAATAATAAAGAAAAGAACCACTAGTTTAAGGGAACAAAAAAGATTTTAACCAACTTGTTTTTGAAATTAAGAGATAGCCTTGATTACTTTCTTAAAGCATACATACTTTAGAGATATGATTCACATGTATTTGTTTACTCTGTTGATGGGCCTTATGTTTTATAAACATGTTTGAACATGAGACTCCTGGACTAAATAGTCCACAGGCATTTGCCCATTTTCCTCTTGACCTTTCAGTGAAATCAGAAGGGCTCTGTGCTTTTTGCTGCCCGTGGCATTGAGTTTGAGGTGCTGGTCACAGGCCATCTTGACCCACAGCACAAGTTTTCATCCTTGAGGTTTACAGACCTGCACAAATGATCAGAAACTGAGCCTCCTAAAGGACAACCCACCTAGATTCTCACAAACCCTTTGCTTCTAGATTTGGTGCCTCCTAGGAATAAGGAAGGCTGCCACCTTCCCTGGAAGCTGGTCCCAGCCACTTCCCTGCCCTCTGGCTTACAGAAACTGTGCAGTGTACCAGGTTCTTAACTTATGGCCAGTGAGAGCTCATCAGAGCCATAAATAAATAACAAGGTTTTATAAAGAGAGTTAATAACTAAGCAGTAGGGGAAGCTCATAGAAACTCATGGAAATTCCCAGCTATGGAAACACACATACATACCCCAAGAAATGGAAAATAGAAATCCATCAGTAAATTAAGGGGAGGTTTCATTACTGTGAAATAAAAACCAGTTAAGATTTTCTTTGTCCTTGGCTTAACTAAATTATTTTGGTGAGTAGAAACTCTAGGGCACAAGTGTCTCTACAGGGAGACACCAACCCCTCACTAGAAGCAATTGCTGACCTCAAAATCTTCCTAACTGTTGATGAGCAACACACATACATGCACATACACACACAATGTACATATATACATACACATACATATCTATGTGTCCTCCATCTATAGTTCCAGGTCTCAGGTCCTGAGAAGTGGCTAAAAGCTTGTGTGAGGAAGCCAGGCACAGTTCAGAGAACATGGTCAATTTATGTCACATGTTAGCAGGACAGTTTCTCAGGGCTTAGGGTATTTTAAGATCTTATTTTCTAATTTCTAAAACATCTGTTTAAATATATTTTTCTGTCCCA